TACTAGAATCAGGGCCCCTTTGGAATGGAGGTGAAACAAAGGAAAAGCATAGGATTGAGATTCCCCTTTGATTGGTAGGAATTGGTCATAGGAATTCCATAGGAAACTTTCCTTTCCCTTCAATTCCATAGGAAAACTATAAGAAAAAAAAAACAATCCACCTAGAACTCATGAAAAAATTCCATGCACAATGCTTATGAGACCAACTTGTGTCTAATCATGAGAGTGGAATAAAATAAATTAGCTTGATTAAGAAAACAATCACTCTTTGCTCCTCAAAATTTCTTTAAGATTCCTGTGTTTCTCCTTTACCTATCCAAACACCTTGGTATGAAAAATTCCTATGTTTTAGATTCCTCTGTTTTTCACTTGCATTCCTATCTTATTCCTACCTTTCTCCTTTTCCTATGGTTTACATTCCTACAATCCAAAGGAGGCCTCAGTTTTCATGTAATTTACCAGTCAGTGATAGGCAGATTTGCTCAAGAACACTACAACAAAATAAAATAATTCCACCGAGAGAGCAAGAAACACTAAGTTGTTTGTAGTATGCCAATTAAAATACTCATTCCGGTATTTAGGAGTTAGGACCAAGACAAAAGTAATCAAAGGCTTATTTGATTCCCTCTTGGCTGGAAAATGGTGTGGATCAAAGGAAACATAACATGTAACTCTACTGATGACTCTCAGCCAAGAGGCGTCTCGGTTCAACATATACACATCTAAAAAATGGAATGGATTTTATTGCAGCAAAAGAATGGAAGCCAATTGCAGTTAGCTCTGCTCTTTCCATTCTTCAACATTCAACACTACTTAAGTCTTTAAACACTGCACAATAAGAACAAGAAGCTTGAGGAATGATATACATTTTCAACAATGGTGATCACAAGGTCAGTTACGAGCTCTAGGCCTCTAGCTACCGAGCAATATTTTTTTTTCTGAACATCTTGGGAGGAGCTCCATTGGCTCACCGCCTGAAATAACAATGTACTTGATGGCAAGATGGGCCTCCTGCATGTCTAGAGTAAGAGTACAATGTATTTGATATAGGCCAAACCCCCCAGAGATTTTAGTTATGCCATATCACTAAGCGTACCCTAACACCACATGACGCCACAACACCTCAAAAGCCAATATTTATTGTTTCAAAAAAAAAGCCAATATTTATATAGTATATAAATCTAGTTCAACACCAAACCCCATCACAGCTTGCTACTTGCAAGATTCATCATCCAAATCTGGATGCAAAAAATAGAAATACCTTTACTCTTTTCCTCTCTCGCAATAGTTCCACAGATTCAATACTTAAATGTTGTATAGCTCAAGTATTCAGCTTTTGATGTCATCACACATTCACATGGTGAGTGTCCACAATTCAGAACTTTGACCGATAAATCACGGGTTCTTCGGCATTTGAGTTTCAGTTGAAGCACCTTGTAATATCTCAAGTACCACACTCAAAATGTTATCTTGTACAATTAAATAAGGTAGCTGTAAAAGTACCATATCAACTATTAGTAGGCCTATAGCTAACCATCACATCATTTCAACAACATTTATATCAAAGCGTTGATCAGCAAAGATCTATAAACAAGCTTTTCTCAATCATGTAGTTGTCATCAACTCAACAGTTTTTTTTTCTGAACATCTTGGGAGGAGCTCCATTGGCTCACCGCCTGAAATAACAATGTACTTGATGGCAAGATGGGCCTCCTGCATGTCTAGAGTAAGAGTACAATGTATTTGATATAGGCCAAACCCCCCAGAGATTTTAGTTATGCCATATCACTAAGCGTGCACTTCTAACACCACATGACGCCACAACACCTCAAAAAGCCAATATTTATTGTTTCAAAAAAAAGCCAATATTTATATAGTATATAAATCTAGTTCAACACCAAACCCCATCACAGTTGCTACTTGCAAGATTCATCATCTGAAATCTGGATGCAAAAAATAGAAATACCTTTACTCTTTTCCTCTGCAATAGTTCCACAGGATTCAATACTTAAATGTTGTATAGCTCAAGTATTCAGCTTTTGATGTCATCACACATTCACATGGTGAGTGTCCACAATTCAGAACTTTGACCGATAAATCACGGGTTCTTCTGGCATTTGAGTTTCAGTTGAAGCACCTTGTAATATCTCAAGTACCACACTCTGCAAATGTTATCTTGTACAATTAAATAAGGTAGCTGTAAAAGTACCATATCAACTATTAGTAGGCCTATAGCTAACCATCACATCATTTCAACAACATTTATATCAAAGCAGTGATCAGGCAGCATCTATAAACAAGCTTTTCTCAATCATGTAGTTGTCATCAACTCAACAGTTTTTTTTTTCTGAACATCTTGGGAGGAGCTCCATTGGCTCACCGCCTGAAATAACAATGTACTTGATGGCAAGATGGGCCTCCTGCATGTCTAGAGTAAGAGTACAATGTATTTGATATAGGCCAAACCCCCCAGAGATTTTAGTTATGCCATATCACTAAGCGTACCCTAACACCACATGACGCCACAACACCTCAAAAAGCCAATATTTATTGTTTCAAAAAAAAGCCAATATTTATATAGTATATAAATCTAGTTCAACACCAAACCCCATCACAGTTGCTACTTGCAAGATTCATCATCTGAAATCTGGATGCAAAAAATAGAAATACCTTTACTCTTTTCCTCTGCAATAGTTCCACAGGATTCAATACTTAAATGTTGTATAGCTCAAGTATTCAGCTTTTGATGTCATCACACATTCACATGGTGAGTGTCCACAATTCAGAACTTTGACCGATAAATCACGGGTTCTTCTGGCATTTGAGTTTCAGTTGAAGCACCTTGTAATATCTCAAGTACCACACTCTGCAAATGTTATCTTGTACAATTAAATAAGGTAGCTGTAAAAGTACCATATCAACTATTAGTAGGCCTATAGCTAACCATCACATCATTTCAACAACATTTATATCAAAGCAGTGATCAGGCAGCATCTATAAACAAGCTTTTCTCAATCATGTAGTTGTCATCAACTCAACAGTTTTTTTTTCTGAACATCTTGGGAGGAGCTCCATTGGCTCACCGCCTTTGAAATAACAATGTACTTGATGGCAAGATGGGCCTCCCTGCATGTCTAGAGTAAGAGTACAATGTATTTGATATAGGCCAAACCCCCAGAGATTTTAGTTATGCCATATCACTAAGCGTGCATCTAACACCACATGACGCCACAACACCTCAAAAAGCCAATATTTATTGTTTCAAAAAAAAAGCCAATATTTATATAGTATATAAATCTAGTTCAACACCAAACCCCATCACAGCTTGCTACTTGCAAGATTCATCATCCAAAATGGATGCAAAAATAGAAATACCTTTACTCTTTTCCTCTGCAATAGTTCCACAGATTCAATACTTAAATGTTGTATAGCTCAAGTATTCAGCTTTTGATGTCATCACACATTCACATGGTGAGTGTCCACAATTCAGAACTTTGACCGATAAATCACGGGTTCTTCTGGCATTTGAGTTTCAGTTGAAGCACCTTGTAATATCTCAAGTACCACACTCTGCAAATGTTATCTTGTACAATTAAATAAGGTAGCTGTAAAAGTACCATATCAACTATTAGTAGGCCTATAGCTAACCATCACATCATTTCAACAACATTTATATCAAAGCGTTGATCAGCAAAAGATCTATAAACAAGCTTTTCTCAATCATGTAGTTGTCATCAACTCAACAGTTTTTTTTTCTGAACATCTTGGGAGGAGCTCCATTGGCTCACCGCCTGAAATAACAATGTACTTGATGGCAAGATGGGCCTCCTGCATGTCTAGAGTAAGAGTACAATGTATTTGATATAGGCCAAACCCCCCAGAGATTTTAGTTATGCCATATCACTAAGCGTACCCTAACACCACATGACGCCACAACACCTCAAAAAGCCAATATTTATTGTTTCAAAAAAAAGCCAATATTTATATAGTATATAAATCTAGTTCAACACCAAACCCCATCACAGTTGCTACTTGCAAGATTCATCATCTGAAATCTGGATGCAAAAAATAGAAATACCTTTACTCTTTTCCTCTGCAATAGTTCCACAGGATTCAATACTTAAATGTTGTATAGCTCAAGTATTCAGCTTTTGATGTCATCACACATTCACATGGTGAGTGTCCACAATTCAGAACTTTGACCGATAAATCACGGGTTCTTCTGGCATTTGAGTTTCAGTTGAAGCACCTTGTAATATCTCAAGTACCACACTCTGCAAATGTTATCTTGTACAATTAAATAAGGTAGCTGTAAAAGTACCATATCAACTATTAGTAGGCCTATAGCTAACCATCACATCATTTCAACAACATTTATATCAAAGCAGTGATCAGGCAGCATCTATAAACAAGCTTTTCTCAATCATGTAGTTGTCATCAACTCAACAGTTTTTGAGGTTAATGTGGCAGAGTTTTCGATTTTTACCATGAAGTTGCTGGAACCACCTTGAAAGATTTAAACTTGTAGTATAGGAAAACATGTACTGACTGATACTGGACTGAGGCAACAACAATAATCACAGGTACCATAATCACTCACTAGTGAAGCCAAGGAAAAAAATAACCCATGCTACTAATAAGAGACCATAATTACAGAAACACAGAGGTAGCATTTGACACATTTATCTTGAACACAAAGCATCATAGGTTGGGTAACTGCATTCATCGAGATTACTAGATGTATACCAAGCTTCAGCCTGTCTCAACTCTCAACATGCTTGCAGTGTTAATTGGACGACAGACATGACACATCCAAGCCCCAGCAAAATGTATCACCTAATTCTACTAAATGTGCCCATACCCAGTTGCTAAGTACTCCATGATTGGAAAAGATCTTATTTCTGTTTAACATGCCAGTAAGTAGCCCACAAGCACCAATTTCACTGCTTATTTTCAAGCGCCAACAACTCTGAGAAGCAGGGGACATATGGAGTAATGCACTAGCCATGTTCAAGAGTGCAGAGATCACGCACTTCCTTACTAACCATGTGATATGATATCAGCTTTTGGCCCTGAACAAGAAAGACCAAACTTTGATCTGGATGAATTCCCACCGCATTGTAGTCAGAGTCAATGTCCTTATGGCAATTCCTTTCCCCAAACAACTTTGAATAGCTTACAGTGTCCTTCAGGACCCATTGTTGTCTCTCATAGTCCTCAAGAACCCAGATTAATAACCCATCACCGTCAAATCCTTCATCATCCATTTCATGGTTGATGTAGTGCAAGCACCCTTGGGACCGTCCAATATAATCAAACAACGTCCAGCTTTCCCTGCCTGCCTGACATGGTAGAGGGATGATCTTCTGTATGTTCCCTTCCACATCTAACACAGTTAGCTGATAGTACCTTTCCTGAGGAGAGAGCCGATGTAGCATGCCATTAACATAGACACAAGGAAAGCCAGGTACTATATGATAGCAACCCTGTCACTTTTGCTACGACTCCATCCCTGAGTTTTTGATGAGTAGACGTGCAATGATTTTTTGTATCCCTCCTTGGAGAATTGGACCAAGTTGAAGTGGCAAGGGGCACCTGGGTCGACAAGCAAATAGGTTAACGCAGATCCATAGAATATCTTATTCTGTTCCAAGCCAGATCTGGGCACAGCCACACATTCCTTAGTGGCAGGGTTGCACACAACATAGCTCCATGAAGCGCCCCAATTGCATTTGACGGCAAAGAGGAGGCCATTGCAGCAATGGACGAGCCTGGTGTTCTTAATGCCAGGCAGCTCAGTCACATAGGAGAAGTCCACAAGACGCACCGATCTCTGCAACACGTCGACGAAACCATAGCGAGGCAATTCCTCTTCGTCGCTGTCCTCAGCGCCGCGGGCTTCGCCGTCCCCGCCGTAACAGGAGCAGGGCTCGTCGTCGCAGTCGCTTTCGCCATGACAAATATGCAATTCGACCATAAAGAAGAACCCTTGTAGCCTTGTAGGGCCTGGGGTAGCTTCTTGCAGTGGAGGGGATCGGCGATGAGGTCGCGCCAGGCCTTGGAGACGCACCTGAAGCGGCAGAGGGACTTGGCAGGGACGCGGGAGAGGATCTCCACCAGGGGGTCGTCGGGGAGCCCGGACGACGCCGCCTCCGTGTCGCGTCTCCTCTTGGGGCAGTCCATGCCACCGAGAGCAAGCTACAGAACGCGGATCGATCGAGCGAAAGATGCGAGGCGCGAGCGAGAGATGCAGCAACGGGGAGGCTGGGGTCGACGGCGGCGGCGGCGGCGCTGGCCGGTGCCGATGAACTGAAATCGAGTTGGGAAATTGGGGAATTTGTTATAACCCTAGCTCTAGGCAGGACCGCAGCTGGAGGCTGGCCATTTGTTATAACCCTAGCTCTAGGCAGGGCCGCATACTCTTGCTTTGCACAATTGCACTCATGTGACTGCTATTCTGTTGCTCAAAAAAAAAGTGACTGCTATTCTCTCTCCAAAAAATGAGAATAATTCTATCACTGTTCCAAAAATATCCGTTCCTTTGATACACGGGATTGCCAAATCCTTTGAATGAAACTGGTTAAAGAGCAATTCCCTAATCTATATAATATAGTCAAATATCCACATGTTACGGTGGCAGCTTTTTCATGAATTAGGCGCCACTTAATGTGTCGTTTTGGAGAGCTCATAAACCGACTCCTTGAATAACCTGGTAGCTAAATTACGTCCTCGCTCGGCTTATAAGCCATATTTTTCTTTCAGTCAACGAAAAGTATTTTTCTCTCACAATAAATCAGCCAATAATACTTTCAGTCATGGCTTATCAGCCAAGCGAGCAGGGCATTAATTGCGGTTTAACTTTCTAATAAAAGGACTATTTTTACCTTTATTTCATAACTAGGTAGCGTGCCCGTGCGTTGCTTCGGGATAGCTAATATTTTGTACTAAAAACACACAAATCGCACGATAAGATAACAATACTATAAAAATTAAATACCAATGTTAAAGTGACATTTAATCCAAAAAATAAAGTGTGTGAAATTAACATAAGTCACGGAGAGCGCGACGTCGCAGGCTCACAAACTCTACTTTATAGATCTTTTTCGTGATGTGGCTAAGATAATATTTTATATTGGTCGAAAAAAATCTCTGATATCCATTTCTTTCGTGCGCCAATAAATACCAATGTTGAATATTCGGACTCGGATACGGATAGATCTAAACCCTCTAAACGGATTCGGTCTCAGATACGGTCGAAAAATATCCGTACCGTTTTTACCCCTACTTATAACAATGCATAAATAAATGGATTACAAATTACATCCACCAAGGTTCATATGCAATAGACAAATTACATCCACAAGGTCCATCGGCCTGTTTGGGAGGCCGTATCGTATCGTGGATTATTTACTGCTGACTGATTTGGTGTGAGAGAAAAACACTATTCCCGACTGGAAATTTACGATCGTTTACGAGCAAGCGAACAGGCTGCATAGCTCCAACAAGTTAGAAAATAAAAAATAATCCAGAATTGAAAATTGAATTGTCTTAAGAACTAAAACAAACTAAAGCAGTTTTGCTGCGCTGCTAGTGGTCGTGCTTGTCTGAAATTAAACTACATGCTGATCAACAGTATTGGACGAAATGGTCTATTTAAATGGCCACAGGATACACCGTATGTTTGAACAAACTGTATGAGTTTGATAGCTACTGCTCCAAGGCCCTGCAAATGGTAATATGTCAAAGAAAGTTAACCTTCCAAACTAACAAATATGCATTAAGGGAGAAAATACAAATAGTTCTGTTAAAACTGGCAAAAAAAATAATTGCAGTAGGAGCCACTAGCTCCTCCTGATTTAAAAAAAGTTTGAGACACATGTATATACAGGCTTTAGAAACATGTTTTCTTTCACTTTGCTGGTAAACTAGTGCAGCTAATAAAAAAATAGATCTGCAAGGTCCCTAGCTCCAACATGTTCTGCTTGAAAACAGTGCAGTTATGCTGACAACACCACGTGGCAACCATGACCTGCAAGCGCATACAACCATAGGCAAACAAATTATCCATTCTAGGGATTCAGCATGTATGAGATGCAATAATTCAAGATAAAACTTATTCTTCTTTTGTTGCACTTCAGTAAGGTTCCATGTCGGCGGCTGGAAAATATGATCATAAGAGAAAAAACATAGCTACTTATGCATGACTCTAATGGCACTTGTGCACACAGGCAATCAAGATCTTTGGTTTGTTGGGCACTACATTAAAAACTGCGGTGGTTGATTATACAGGATAAAACATTGAACAGTGCAAGTGAATCGTTAAATGGAAAGATGACTTATTAGGACACTAAACTGACTTATTAAGACACATAACTACAAGCAATCACTTTAACCATATTTGTGTTCACAGCTCAATGACCTTGCAAACAAACCAAAACAATGGATTGGAACTCATGCTATGACATAATGGGCACCTTGTAACCTAGTATACTCAGATAGGATGCAGCTTAATATTGTCATCTGGGGCTTCGAGCACAGATGGAATTTTCTTCATTTATTTTTTGAATGAATGGGCATGACATGATTCAAATGTAATATAACCTCGAATTACCAGATGACATTACATATGATTCAGATATGCATTGCATCATATATGATTCATGAATAAGATAACTTCGCTGTGCTAACGCTACCATAAAAGTAAAAAAATAATATTTTTCTACGCACTTGTGGGCTAAATCTCTTTCTAATGCTAGCCCAAGCCTAACAACTCTTAGGCTAAATTTGCTCCTGATGCTAGCCCAAGCCTCAACCTCCTCTTGACCGAAGCTAACCCGTGGCCCTTCTCCCACATCTCCCGTGTACCTCTCCGCACGTGGGCCAAGCCCATTGCTGGCCTCCTCCCTCCCTTGACCGAGGGCCACCCGCCGATACTGATAACTGGTTGCCTTGATAACTGGTTGCCAGTTGCCTTGTTGTTGGCTTTAAGTTTTCCACTACCGTTAAGATCCATTCTTTTCATGTCAGCTTTCAGAAACATCAGAGAGTTGCAATAATTTGAAAATACATTGTCAGTTCACAGAAAACTAACAGGTTATTTAAAATCTGACATCCTATGAACGACTGTCAGCCTATTCGGTTGGCTGGTTCATATCGTTGCTGGTTCGTTTATATGAGAGAGAAGTACTGTTGGCTGGTTCGCGTAAATAGTAGTCACGTGAGGGGGCTGGCCAGCCAGCCCCAGCCCAGCGATCCGGGCCTGTATAGATAGGCTACGAACGAGGGCTGTCCATGCGCCTTGAACAGATCATCATATGTAGGACAACTCTGAAAAGAAATTGAGACCAAAGAATCAGACAGACATAAAAATTTAATATTTAATGTTTGTTTATTAGCAACTTTAGGATTACATCAGACATGTACATGTTTATAAAAAAAATTGTAAAGAGAAATTAAAAATAACATGTCAATTTCATATCAAAGTCATCGTATTAATCGATTCCACACAAATTCAATTGTCAAATATGTACCTTGTGTTTTAAATATCTTACCATGGGCAGGCTGAGGTTTTTCCAAATTGGCTAGTATTGTTCAACAGGTGCATCGCCCAGTAGTGGAAGAACACAAAAACCACCAACCAGATAACGATAATCATCCTGTAGGGGTTAATTCGGCTTGATGGTAGAGACTTATCTGGACAATGCATGGCTGTCGAGCTTCACTGTTCTGGACAAAAAAATTATAGAACAATTTAGAACCACAGGCATCATACTCTATGAAAAGAAATGACAAGTTTTCGCTATAAAATACTACATTGCAGATGACTTAAAGACAACATCTTACTATGCAATATACAGGCAACGACCACGATAAATATCATTAAGATGATACGAAGCAACAAATAAACCACACAAATGATTCCATATATATATGTGATGTATCATCTTAGTCTACAAATTCAGCATTACATAAACGGTTGAGCTTGCATTCTGGATTCTCTTCAACTCGTATTGCTGTACACCATCTAGCAATGTAGCAAGTAATAACAAAGGTACAAACATACTTGCAGATTTTAGATATATTGTGATTAATACCATAACCTTTTTTTTACTAATGAAATTGGATATCACTTTTATGTGCGCCTAGCTAGAGATTAGCAGTTTAATCAAGTGAAGAACACACTCCAGTAGCGCATTATCACTCTAGTAGCACTGTAGCATATCTTACTTGCTCTTGCTCCATATTAGATATCTAATGCACGCTGCTAGCATCAACTACAACTTCTATACGCACACAGACTCTAGTGCACTGTCAGCACTCAGCACCCAAAGGAAATAATTAAGCACGCTGCAACTGCTAACAACCAACAAACAAGGCTGGATGAGCACGCTCTTGTTTCTGCTTCCAGACCTCCTTCCACGTTGCCGTAGTTCAGTAGTTGTAGGAAGACAGATCTTGGACGGGTCCATGGATCTCGTTTGCACAGCAGCGACACCAGATCGTGGTTTGACAATAGCAGATTCTAGCATTGAATAGTCAGATTGATGGATTAGTAGGGCATCTAATCTAACAGCACACAAAAATCAGCCAGAAACTGAACATATGGAAGAGAGAAATATTCAGACTTGGTGGATGGATTGCTCACCAGTGAAGATGAAAGAAATCCATATCCGGACTGGTGGATCTCCACTTCAGCAGGCAGAGGAGATGAGCATCATGGACCCAAGGGACCTCGCCGTTGATTAAGAAGGCCAAGGACCTTGTGCTTGCTCTGGGTGCCGTGAGCTAGCGCCGCCCCAATCCCCCGTGGCGCAACCGAGCTCGCATCGGACGGCACCCTTCTCCTCTCACACCTTGCCGATGTCGATGACGGTGGAGGACCCACGCGACTCTGCCTGATCCAGCCGCGGGGCGTTGGCACGCCTCCCCTGCGAGGTCGATGATGGTGAAAGGATCAAGATGCCCAAGAGGGGGGGTGAATTGGGCTAATTCGAAATTCTCTTGCAATAAACAAATCCTACGGATAGCCCAATTAACCCCTTGTGCCTAGAAAAGTGTTTCTATCAAACTAAAGCACAACGAATTCACCACCTATGTTCCAACCTTACTCAAGCAAGCAATTCTATGGATGTAAAACAAGTATTGAATTGCTCAAAGTAAATAGGGAGAGAAAGGAACGCGGC